ATTTAACTCATCTTTTACTCTTTTCTTGTATAAAGCAGATATGAGTGGTCCTCTTGTGGTGGATGCACAAATATGTAGCCCGGTTCTTTGTCAACTATACTGCTCTCTTCAGGGTTTGCCAGGATGCTGCCCAGGAGTTGGCTGGAGTCCTTGTCAATGCACAGCAATTTGCCCATGTATGTAAACATAAACTTAATGATACGTTGCCTTACAGATTGAATCTGGCAAGACAAAAAGTTTCCTTATGTTTGCACTAAAATTTCTCCTCATTGATTGCAGTGGCAGGCTCTGTTACAACAGAAATTACTGAGGAGGTGACGGCTGGTGAAACTGGTGAAGAGCGTTTCATCAAAGAGACAGTAACTGCTTGATGCTTCTCTGCAACAATAGGAGAATAAATTACTTAACTATCTATGAAGCTCGTTGAATTAATAAATCTGTAGATCTGTGTTTGGAGACTACATTAAACTGGCTTTAATTAAATAAACTGTAGTCTTTGCTGGGGGAGTATATTGTGGATGTGTACCCGTCTTTTATTACAAGTACTATGTTTTATAATTTAATAATTTTTGTTGTCTTCTTTTAGTTTTTATCAAATTGATATCTGTATTAACGTCAATACTTTCTAAGCACCACATTTTCCAACGAATTAAATCTATTTCATCCAACTTAAAAAGTCATTTAAAATCTAAATCAAAATCAACAATTAATTGTAATCATACGTTTCAATGAATCTACAACTTTTCACCCACATATCCATCAATTTTGATAAAAATCTACTAAAAAACTTATTTGTATCTAAACCAAACTCGAGCTTAATATGTTCCCCGATTGTAACATTTTGCTTTCGTTTTATAATATGTCGCTGAATGTGGTTGGCTTATCCCCCAAAAAAAATCTTACAGTACCTTATCTCGATCAAACGTAGGGAAACAACATTTGCAACCTGGATGTTTGTTGAAATAACATTTGTTGCCTATAACTAGATTAGTGGGTTTGGAAACACACAATATCATTATTGATTAAAATTGACAATGAACAAGTTTTTGTCAATTATGTACTAATTCTATCCCCATAACCCTAGTTATATGATTATTGTATCCATTGCAGCTCTAGTTCTTCCTTATATCACTACAATAAAAAAGGCGTTTTGCAACTGCCAAAATATGTTGATCGAAGTCATTTTCCAACGTTTTGACTTATGTTGCAAATCGAGATGTTGTCGTAGAATAGAAAGATACGACAACATTTTTTTAAACGTTGCCAATAACCATTTCGCAATGTTTTATAAACGTTGCCAATAACCTTTTCCCAACGCTTTTTGACTGTTGCTGAAGGTGATTTTTACAGTTTTTTTTTAAAATTTTGCATAATCAATTTATTTGATTTCCAACAAACCTATAATAATTACAAAACAAAATGTTTGGAAATTAGTCATATGCAATCAGATTTCACATAGTTCTAGCACTACAAAAAAATGCGGCTTCAGAGACGGAAATTTCCGTCGCTGAAGCCTTGATTTTCGTTGAAAATAACCTTTAGAGACAGAAAATTGCCGTCGATAAATCAGTCGATGAAAGGCCCGCCGCTAATTTTTCCCTACGAGAAAAGAATCCGTCGGTAATTACCGACATCATTTTCCGTCGGTAATTACCAACGGATAGAAATCTGCCGCAAAAATACCAACAAATTGTATTTGTCGCTAAATACCAACGGATTGAATCCGTCGCTAATCAGCAACAGACTTCCTTCAAAAATTTCCGTCGCTAATGCCATATATATAATGCTGACATTCAATTTTTAGTATAACGACTAACTAACAATTTACATGAAATTGCAAATCTTTAATTACATAATTTTTAAATTTCAAAACAACATGAAATGAAGCTAAATTACAAGAATAATTCGTCCAACTATTGAAAACACTTGAGAGCATCAGGAATGACCATCCTCTTTGTCTTGTCATATGGTGGTGGGATACCCTCATAAACCTTCAAACGAGCAAGTGCAGCTGCCCCTTGCTTAGTCTTGTGGGGATCATCCTATAAAGGAGAACATGAACATCTCTATAAACACAAACAAATCCACAATTGCAACATATGAAAACATAAATTATTTAGAACATGTCCTGTCCATGCCAGCCACATTCATATGGCTATGAATCACTTTAAACCACTCATCTCCAATTACCAAATCACTAAATGTGATTTTAATAAAAAGCAGGCCACTTTAACATACACAAAAGGTTATCATATTTCCATACCAAAATAAATGTGTAACACGTACCTTCCCAAATTGGATTCATGAGATGCAAGAAGATGAACATGCAGATCCAGTCTCCAATTCTTTCCCAATGTAGAGTTATTTCCCAGCCACCCACCAAATCTATTGTAATTGTTTTCTCCCTGCAAAAGACATTATTTTCTTAGTAAGGGTAATGTAAATTTAGATCAGTCATCAATCAATATACTATCAAAAAATGATGAGAAAGAGCCTTGACATTACATAGTAGTAGATAGTCTGATATGGCATTAAAGCGAAAGATTTTAAAATTGAAACTAGTAGTGCTTACAAGAATCTCAGTATGGAGAAGTTGGACATCTCAGTTGCAGTTGAAACACTGTCAATTGTTAACATTTGTTCTGCAATGCTCACAGCATTATCTTGCAATTTGGTATGAATATCTGCAAAATATAGAAAGAACTAATTGGGTATAACCGGTCCAATTTTAAAAGCAAATATTGAAGCGGCAGCTTAAGACTGAAGAATTTTATAGCAAGTGCTGCTTTCTCACTCAGATATCTCACTACATGCTCTAGCATTCTGGCCAGAAGAACCAAGTACAGACAGCTTGAAATTGAATTTACTAAGAAATAGAAGATACCTAAGTTACCAAAGAATATTACCATTAATGAAAGATAGTGGTATAATCACCTTGAAGAAGAACAAATACCGGTATTTCTGAACAAATTCTAATAAAAATTGACATCCAACCATCTGAATTTTAAATTCCCTACACAGTCATACTCCCCTTCACTGTTCGGGACTCAAATACATATTCAAGCCAAACCCAAACACTTATTTAAGCCAAACCCAGATAAGTAATAATACATATTCAATCACATATTCAATTTATAAAATCCCAGTCCAAAGAGTACTAAATTAAGTCCAACTGTCCAACCCCGATCATTACTCATCAGGCCCTCCTTTGTGTAATTTTCCCCAGGCAAGTTCAGTGAAAACAAGTCTCTCGCATCAGTTCGATCAATTTAGTTTAAATTTTCAAATGTAAGTTTCCATTTGGGAAATCATTTCTGCAAGGCCTTACGTACACTTTGAATTTCACTAAGAATCTCCATTTGTATTATCACTCACTCCAAAAAACCTCACAGAAAAATAGGCCATTTATTTACCTTTACTTTCAAAGTAACATTGTAACATCAGTTTTCATAAATTTTGAACTCAACTTTCGAAATTAAGCACTAGATACAAGAATTTAACAAAATCATAGAACCAATTACCGGAATTGACAGGAAAATCAAGCATTTTCATCAAGACAAACACACACACACACACACAAAAAATACCCAGTGCAAGAGCAGTTAATAGCAATTTGTTACCTAGCTAAAGCAGGTCTTTTCTTATCAGGCGGCTGCTCTTCATCATCACCACTCTCCGCGGTCCTTTTTCCTCTCCCACTCATTGAATTTGTCCTCTCCATATATGATATACCTTGTCCGCATTTCACTTTAAAATACCAAAAGACCAAAAAAGAAACAAAAGAACATCAACAAAACTCAAAACAAAACAATAACACAAACAACTCCAGCAGATCTCAATTGACCCAAAATCCATAAACCCTTCGTTAATTTCGCTTCAAACACCCAGATCCCCAAAATACATCAATTAACAACAAAATACGTGTCCCATATTAAAAACTAAACACATACACGGTCGGACCTTCACCTTTCGGCTTCCAATTTCCACAGTTTCCCCGCGGCACGGGCGGCAGGCGCACAGCTACAGGTTTTTCTGTCTGGACTCAGTGCCGTAACTATGGAGGGAAGTGACTTTTAGGTTAACAAAAAAAAAATGAAGAAGACGAATCGGTACAGGCGCTGCCGGCGCCGGTCGGTCCGATGGACAACAGGCAACCATCGCCGGCAATTGGAAGGTTAGGGTTGGCGTCGATGAATTGAGGGAAACTGGGGAGGGAGGGAGGGAGAAATGGAAGGTTAGGGTTGGGTTGCCTTTGAAATATTTTGTCAATTTTAGAGCCAAATCAAATTTTTGGTGGGAATTAAAAAATTTTGAGTTTTCAGACAGAATTTTTTCATTGGTAATTATATATATACTTTTAAAATTTCTTACAATGTTTACCAACAGATTTTGACGTTGCTATTTTATTATACCATTTTTAATATTTTTTCTAACGAAATCATCCGTTGAGAAATTTTGTCACTAAATTATTTAATTTATTATTTATTATTTTTAAATTTTTACCGACGGATTAGTAACAAAATTGTACCAACGAAAGTCTTCCGTTGATAATTCTGTCGTTAATTTAGTATTTAGTTTTTAATAATAAAAAAGTAATAATTCGTTGCTAATTTGTTGTTAATCCGTTGGTATTAGCAACGGAAGACGTTCGTTGCCAAATTTCCGTCTCTGTTGCCTCACTTTCTAGTAGTGTAGACAAAAATAGTGAATATGATTCAATACAATATGCTAACATCATTGGCCTATTCAAGAAGATAACATCATTAAATATTAAATAATGCTAACATCGTTACCTAGCTCAAAAAGTCATATAGTAATCACAATTTACCAACAAAATATTACAAAATCCCAAAAATAATCTAACTCCCCGCTATCACAAAAATGATAACAGGGCTCCTTCAACAAAGGCTCCTGAAGTAAATCTTATTGACTAGTGAATCATCAAAGGCTCCTTCAACAAGACTACATTTTTCGAAAGTTTATGTTGGAAGATGAAGCACGAGCTGAGGAAAATGCAAAATTAAGGAAATGAGTTGGCAGCCTAGTCATCCATCCAGCTCCATCAGCTAGCATTACTAATTGTACAATGGAAGGTCTAGAAGACTAAATGCTGAGTGATCTGTTTATAGTGCACATGGAGGCTATTAGGAAAAGTTTAGTTTTGTAACTGATTTCGTCCTTCTATTACTTAAGGTATATTTATGTGTGTGTTGTAAATTTGTAAAGTAATTCAAAGGGAATTAAAGGAGTTCTTCGTAATTATTTTTTACTTCATTTCATGTTCTTCATTTCAGAATTTACATGGTATCAGAGTGTAATGGCTGAAACAGATAATCAATCATCCAATGTTCTACAAAATACTAATCAAAACCAAAATAACAACTCGACAATCCATGATCCCACATGCTTTACCAGCCCATATTACATTGGGAGCAATAATGGTACTGGATCTGTTCTGTTAGATTTTTAGTGTTGGCCACTGTGGACAAAGGACTAATTTGTAACGTGTTGTAAAAGTCAAAAACCTAGGGTGTGATTTGTATAAATTAGGTAAGTTAGGGTTTGAGTCCTTGATGAAGTCCAAGATGTCCAAGAAGATTGCATATGATAAAGGGAATGCAATTAGAAGTCTAAAGAGTATCAAGTTATGTTCCAAATTCTCAATCGTCAAGTTGAATACATTTTTCACATATAAAAATTGGAATTTAGATATGGCTACTTCTAGAAGAATTGTAGCCCTTCGAGTTAGCTTTCCAACAAAATTTGAGGCATCTCAATCGGATATCGGTATAGAAAGTTATGATAAAAATACTGATAACTGCTCAACCCTCGCTCGACCTTGGCTAGAGGCTCGCTCGAGCGACCAATGCAGTAACATTTTAGCCCGAGCTTCGTCTACAGCTCGCTCGAGCGACATACCTATGCGACCAAACCTAATCCGTGATTTTAGAGAGTTTTATATGGCCCATACTACTCATACATCTCTAACTATAAATATAAAGGGTCTTACACTAAAATTTGTAGTTGCTTCATTGTGCTTCATAGATATAACACTTTCATATCATTGTTTGAGAGATCCAAGAGACAATTCACTGATTCATCTATATTCATTCTTGAGATCCAGCACTCGATTTTGGAAAACATTAAAGGTTCCATAATCCCAAACACAAGGCGTCCTTAATCTTTTAAAGAACTAACTCTTTTATTGAGATTTGGAAGAGGTGGACTACAAGCTTAGGAAGAGCACAAGAATTGGAAATTCTTGGAATTTGGCTTGGAAGAGACAATAGAAGAAGATTAGGAAGCTGAAAGGAAACAGCAGATCAGGAGACTGGAAAGTACAGATCAAGAAGCTACAGGAGGTAGATCGGGAAGTCTAGCAGGGTAGCTAGATAGTATCTACAGTAGCAGGTCGTGAGTTTGAAAGGAACAGCAGATCTTGGAGATTACAAAAATTACAACATTGGGAACGAGTGAAGTTTGTTAGCTGGAAACATACTGTAATCTATATTGTCTATAGTAGAGGTAACTGGCTTGGTCCCTGAGTTTTTCCCAGTTAGGTTTCTCCATCATCATATTGGTGTTCTTTATTTACTGCTTTCATAATTGGGTTTCTCCGTCATTATATTGGTGTTCTTTATTTACTGCTTTCATATTTATTGTGTATTATACAAACTGCGGTATTCAAAGATTGGATAATTTGAATTGTCTGACTAATTGCCTAGACATAATTAACTTTGAATTGTTGCTTGTTAATTAAAGTTTTAATTTAGCACTTACACCTAATCACCCCCTTTAGGTGTAGTAGGGTCGAATCTTACATTTCTCATGTTCTTGTCACACATATTCTTGATACAAACAACTATCACTCATGGGCCAAATCGATAAAGAGGCCTCTTAGGATAAATAACAAGCTGAGATTTATAGATGGAAGCATCCAAAATCCTCAAAAACCTAATGACCAGCACTGGCTCTGGTGCAATGACATTTTAATCACTTGGCTTCAAAATACTATGGCAGTGGATATCAAGTGCAACACTACATATGCTGAAATAGCCTATTAGTTATGGCAAGAGCTGGAGTAGCATTTTGCACAATAGAATACACCAAGGATTTTTGAGATCAAACAGGCTATCATAACTTTGTCACAAAATCAAGATGTAGAAAGTGTGTATTTTTCAAAAGTCGAAACTCTGCTTGATGAACTATGAATAAGTTTCCAATTGCACGTGTGGAGGTTTGAAAACTGTAGTTGAAAATCAGAATCGTGACTGAGGAATGAAGTTCCCGATGGGGTTGGATGGGTTTTACAAGGCCAATAAGGAACATGTTCTTTTAAATAAGCCCCTTGAATGAAGTGTATGCTGTAATTTAGTAAGAAGAGAAAAGGAGGCAGATCTCGAGTGATGGATCAATAAGTGAAATAATGGCATTGATGGCTAGAGGAAATTTCAAAGATAATGGCAGGCATAATTCCTTTTCACATAGAAAAGACATGTACTATTCCACTTTTTGCAAAGTAGCTGGTCACTCACTTGAGAGATACCTGAAGGATCCAAATGAGCCTATAAGACAAATGCTTCAAACTGTATGGTTATCCACCTAGTCACAAGTTTGAAGAAAGGAAAAGGTTCACACCAGCAGCAAATCAGGCTTCTATGAATTAGGAGCAACAGATCAACAAGGTAAATGTATCTCTCACTCAAGAGGAATACTCTCACTTGATGGCTTTTCTGAAATCATCAACCATTCAGAACGTAGCCCCTTCAGCAAATCAGGTTAAAAACACTATTACCTCAGAATCAGACAATACTTTTCCAAAGATGTCTGGTATATCACTCTACTCATCTAGTTTCAATTTGTAAAAACTAACAAGTCTGAAGCTCCTTGGGTTCTGGATACAGAGGCAACAAATCATATGATCTCTAGCCCTTCATTCCTCTCCTATATCAAATCCAAAATAAATTGCTCAGTAAGCCTTCCCAATGGAATCACTACCCTAGTAACTTGCATTGGGACTGCGCGTATCACAGATAAACTAATTCTTAATGATGTACTATGTGTTCTTTCATTTTCCCTCAATTTTATACCTATTAGGAAACTCACTCAGGAACTAAACAGCTGTGTTATTTTTCTCCATAATGTTTTTTTTATATAGGACCTTTCGACTTGGACAACGACTGGAATGGGTGAACCAAAATTTGGCCTCTATCAAGGCCTACCTTCAGTAACATCACCTATAGCTCTTCAAGAAACCTTGAATCATCTAATCAACACCTCTTTCCTTGCAGCCTCTGCTATCAATCATGAAAATGAGTTTGACATTTGGCACTATAGAATGGGACATACATCCCATTCTGCACTTGCTTTTGAAGATGCCATACCTAAGTTAACTTCACAAAATAACCCATGTCCAGTATGTCCTTTAGCTAAGTTACATAGGCTCAATTTTCCTGTTAGTTAGCACAAGTCCGAGAAATGTTTTGATTTAATATACTGTGATATCTGGGGACCTTGCAATGAGATTAGTTATGATGGATCACGTTACTTTCTTGCCATAGTAGATGATTTTAGCAGGTGTACTTGGGTTTATATGCTGAACTTAAAATCAGAAGCTACTAATACTTTGCAAAGCTTTTACAAATTGATAGAGACATAATGTCAAAGCAAAATAAAGTTTATCAGAAGTGATAATGGAGCAGA